ATGCGCGTGTACTTCAGCATCTGGGACGCCTCCACGTGGGCCACAGGGCCCAGGACTGCGCGCATTCCCGTCGACTACAGCCGTGCGGTGAGTGCTTTGCCGCTGGCTGGTTCGCAATATGCTCTGCCATTTCATTAGGCCCTTTTCTCGATGATGGATTCTGATTTACCTGTTGGGTTCCCTTTGCATGCAGCCGTTTGTTGTGACGTTCAAGAACTTCAAGTTCATTGCAGCTTGACCGGTGCTGCTGACATCCCTGTGTGACACGAGGATCGGAGGATTGTGTGGGGTGGTGTGGTGTGCGTTTTGTCAACTTATACATATGATGTTCTGTAGAAGTTATAGGCTAGAATGGTGTATGTTCTTAGTGGGTACAACCCCAACACTATATCTCCCCTGCACTCCCTTGTTTCAATCATTCTACCAGTATTCTAACACGTATGGCATCGCAAGTGGTCCATTGTAAGCAGGCCTCTCGACATCAGGGTAAAATAGGTTGATGACCCTTACTAAAAGGGTGGGGTGTGGGTTGGTTGGACCCATATTTGTTTGAGTATTTTTGGCCAAGTCCCTTAGGGGAAAAGGCAAAATTTGTATAACCCTTATTTGTAAGACTGCTTGAGTGTATGTATGTACGCTGATGCGGAAAAGCGCCCCTGGGGCCAATCTTTATACAGGCACACATGTTGTCAAACATGTGTATTTGTCATGTTTGTATAGACTGTATAGGGTCCCCTCTTAGAGAGTACAACACTTAGGTATATCTGTGTGTACTCTCACTCTATCTATCATTCACTTCTCAATTCTGATATGGTATCACGCGTAGGTAGGATCCCCCCCCACCCACCGCTTCCGCTTACCCCTCTAGCCCCTAGCCCCGTCGCGACCCCCCTAGCCCCGTCGCGCCCCATCCTGGGCCCTGTAGCGCCCCTCCTGGGCCCCGTCGCACCCCTCACTGGGCCCCGTCGCGCCCCTCCCAGGCCCGGTCGCGCCCCTCCTAGGCCCTGTAGCGCCCCTCCTGGGCCTCGTCGCGCCCCTCCTGGGCTCCGTAGCGCCCCTCCTGGGCCCCGTCGCGCCCCTCCTGGGCCCCGTAGCGCCTCTCCTGGGCCCCGTCGCGCCCTTCCTGGGCCCTGTAGCGCCCCTCCTGGGCCCCGTCGCGCCCCTCCCAGGCCCCGTCGCGCCCCTCCTGGGCTCCGTAGCGCCCCTCTTGGGCCCCGTCGCGTCCCTCCTGGGCCCCGTAGCGCCCCTCCTGGGCCCCGTCGCGCCCTCCCTGGGCCCTGTAGCGCCCCTCCTGGGCCCCGTCGCGCCCCTCCCAGGCCCCGTCGCGCCCCTCCTAGGCCCCGTAGCGCCCCTCCTGGGCCTTGTCGCGCCCCTCCTGGGCTTCGTAGCGCCCCTCCTGGGCCCCGTCGCGCCCCTCCTGGGCCCCTGTAGCGCCCCTCCTGGGCCCCCGTCGTGCCCCTCCTGGGCCCCGTAGCGCCCCTCCAGGGCCGCGTCGAGCCCCCCCCTCCTGGGCCCCGTCACGCCTTCAGGCCCCGTCGCGCTCGCCCGGCCCCGTCGCCCCAGCCCGGCCCCGTCGCACCTGCCCGGCCCCGTCGCAGCCGCCCGGCCCCGTCAAACCGGTCCGGCCCCGTCGCGCCCGCCCAGCCCCGGTGCGCCCCTCCTGGGCCACCGTCCTGCTCGCCCGGCCCCGTCGCACCGGCCCGGCACCGTCGCACCAGCCCGGCCCCGACGCACCCGCCCGGCCCCGTCGCACCAGCTCGGCCCCGTCGCGCCCGCCCGGCCCCGTCGCGCCCGCCCGGCCCCGTTGCACCGGCCCGGCCCCTGCGCTCGTCCCTGCCCCGGCCCCGGTCCTCCTCACTGGTACGGTTTCCCCCCCCCCTCCCCCGCCCTGCACTGCCCTGCACCGTACTGCCCCGCACTGCACCGCCCCGCACCACCCTGTACTGCCTGGCACCGCACTGCACCGCCCTACACCGCACTGCATCGCACTGCATCGCACTGTACCGCACGGCACCGCACTCCACCTTGCTGCACTGCCCTGCACCGCACTGCACTGTTCCTGATGGCGGCGGAGCTTCGCTTCGACGCTGAAGGCAAGCCTCTAGAGTTCGAGGCGTGGCTTGCCGACCTCCGTCGCCAACTCACTGGCCAGCGGCAGGATGGTGAACCGCTCTCCGCACACCTTGACGGTACGCTCCCCTGCCCAGGCCCCCCTGCTATTCTGCCCGCTGACTCCACACCCATTGAGCGCGAGTCCACTGCTGCCACTGCCCGTGCGCGCTTTGTCTGGCTTTCTCGCAATGCTGTCGCCCAGCTTGCCATCAGCAACGCCCTTCCCCCGTCCGAGCGCCCTCGCTTTAGGTCTCTCACCACTGTTCAGGCATACTTAGATGCTATCATCCAGCGCTATTCCACCCCTCCGGCTGCCTCGGTGGGTCGCCTGATCCTCCCGATGCTCTTTCCTGACCTTGCATCTTTCCCCACTGTCTCTGACCTCGCTGCCCACCTGCGCTCGATAGATGAGACCTGGCGTGCAGCCTGCACTGATGCACAGCTTAGAGCCCACCAGCCGCCCATTACCTCTACCCTCTACCTGCTTGCCACCCGCCTCCCTGACCGCCTTGCTGTCGCCCGCGACCGCTTCCTTAGCATTCACCCCGCAGACCTCACCCTCACTGACTTTGTAGACACCCTGACTGTGATAGAGACCCGTCACCGCTCCATCGCCCAGGCAAGCGGTGTCGTGCCGGTCCCTATCTTTCAGGGTTGTGCCCCCGCCCAGTGTACCTTCTCCGACGGCTCTGCCGCAGTGGCTGAGACTGCTGCTGCAGTGCAGTTTCGTTCGGGGAAGGGCCGCCGCCCCAAGGTTGGGCGCGGCGGCGGCGGCGGCGGGGGTGCGGGAGGGGGTAGTGGTGGGGTCGGGTCGTCTGGTGCTGGAGCGGACGAGGGGACCCTGCCCAGTCCAGCTGAGCCGCCGCCCCTGCAGTTGCAGCAGCCGCAGCAGCCGCCGAAGTCGCAGCCTTCGCAGCAGCCGCAGCAGCCGTCGCAGACGCGGCAGACGAGTGTCCTCCCGCCCGGGTGGCCCGGCGCTGGCGGTGGCCGGGCGCGTGGTGGTGTGCCGAGTGGTGGCTCTGGTGGCGGGCGTTGTCAGTACCAGATCCAGACCGGTCCTCGCCGCGGTTTCGTTTGCGGTAGGCTCGGTCACTCCACTCCCCGCTGTTTTTGTCGCCTGGACGACCTCTTTCGTCAGCGCTTCGGCCCGTCGCCAGACCTCCCGGACTGGCACAGTTTGGTAAGTCGTAGTATTCCGATTTTTGACATGGACATGGATGCCATTGTTTCTGCTCTGCATGTGATGTATGCTGATGACTCTAGTGTGCTTCCCGCTTATTACGCATTGTCGTCTAGTGTAGGTGTGCCTAGCTTAGCCTCCCCTGCTGCGTCAGGCGTAGGATCCCCTGCTTTGTGTAGTCTTGGTGCTTCCGCCGTCGTTCCGTTGCCAGACGCCTCTGCTTCGCTTTCCTTCACCTTGGACTCTGGCACTTCTCGGTGTTTCTTCCGCGACTCCACCACCCTGACGCCGCTTCCTCTCCCAGCTGCCGTCTCTCTTGCTGACCCCTCCGGCGGTCCGGTCGTCGCCCGCAGTTCCACCACCCTTCCCTGTCCGGCGGTTCCTTCGAGCTCTCTCACAGGTCTGCATATCCCCTCGTTCTCCAGGAACCTAGTTGGTGTCGGCTGCCTCCAGGACCTTGGCGTCACCACTACGTTCCCTGGTCACGAGCGGTATGCTGTCTGTACCGAGGCCGCCACTGGTGCCCCCCTGTCCACGTTCCCCCGGGACCCGGTGTCCGGCCTGTTCACTCTGGACACCGTGACCCCCCCGGCTGGGGCGCCTCCTCAGGTGGTTGCGTCTACCCAGGTTGCTGCTGCCTGCTCCTGTCGGTCCATCACTCACCCGACTCTCCTTTGGCACCACCGCCTAGGTCACCCTGCGCTCCCGCGTCTGCGTCACATGTCCCAGCACGGTCTTGTCCTTGGTCTCCCAGGTTCCCTCCCCGCGTTTCCCTCCTCCCCAGCCCCACCTTGCACGCCTTGTGTTGAGGGTCGGCTTCGCCGTGCCCCGCACTCCTCCTCGTTTCCCCCTACCGCTGCGCCGCTGCAGACCCTGCACCTGGACGTCTGGGGCCCCGCCCCCGTCCCTGGGTCGCGTCGAGAGCGCTACTTCCTTGTGCTTGTCGACGACTTCACTCGTTACACCACAATCTTTCCCCTGGAGCGCAAGGCCGACGTGCCTGGCGCTCTCATCCCCTGGCTTGTCTCTGCGCGTGTCCACCGCGGTCTCCCTGTCTTGCGTCTTCACTCCGACCGTGGTGGCGAGTTTGCCTCAGGTGTCCTTGGTAGCTTTTGTCGTGCGGAGGGCATCACCCAGACGTTCACCCTACCGGACTCCCCACAGCAGAATGGGGTCGCTGAGCGATGCATCGGTTTGGTCATTAAGGTGGCTCGCACCTCCATGATCCATGCCGATGCACCCCATTTTCTGTGGCCGTTCGCTGTGCGCTACGCTTCTCACCAGCTTAACTTGTGGCCGCACCCTCAGCAGCCGCAGGTTTCGCCGACTCGTCTTTGGACTGGGTCTCCTGGTGACGCGCCTGCGTTCCACGTCTGGGGCTGCCTTGCTCACGTCCGTGCCTCCGGCACGGACAAGCTCACTGCCCGCACCCTTCCCTGCGTCTTCCTCGGTTTTCCCCTTGACGCGTCAGACTGGCACTTTTACCACCCGCCGTCTCACCGCTTCTTTCACTCTCGTGACGTCACCTTTGACGAGTCCGTCTCCTACTACCGTCGCTTCCCCCACCGTGGTCCCCCGGTTACCCCCCCCTTGTTCCTGGTCACTCCTTCCCCGGTAGTCCCTGCCCCTCCTCCTCCTCCTCCCCGTCCCGCCCCCTCTGGTGTGTCCCACGTCACCCCCCTTCCGTCGGTGGACCCAATTCAGGAGTCTTCTGACTCTGGTGGCCCTCCTGTTTAGTCCTCGCCGGCCCCCCCTCCCCTGGCGTCCCCTCCCCAGTCCCCCCCTCCACCGCCTCTGCCGCCGCTGCAGCCGTCGTTGTCGCTGCCGCCGCCGCCGCCGCCGCCGCCGCCGTCGCCGTCGCAGCACCCGTTCGCTGACTCTGGGGGTGCTCGTCCCGGTAGGCCTGGGGGTGGTCCCTCTCGGGGTGCTGGTGTGGAGAGTGCCGGTGGTAGCCGAGGAGCAGCTTGCGGTCCCGGTGTCGCCGTTGTGCCGCCGCAGCAGCAGTCCCCGCCGGTGTCAGCCCTTCGCCTGCTCGGCCTTCCGTCCCCCGACCCTGCGTCGGTTCCTCCCCGGCCGTCTCCTCCTCTTCCTGTCTACGGCCCTGTCTTCCCTCCGCCGGACTCGTCCCCGGCCCGTCTCCCCCCTCGTTCCCCTCCTGTGTCCCCTCCTCTGTCTCCTGACCCGACTCCTCCGTCGCACGTCTGGTCTCACCGTCCCTCCCGCGCTCGTCCTGCCTCGCCTGTCTTGTGCTCCCACCCTATGTTGCTTCGTTCCCACGCGTCTCGTCCTACCCTCCTCCGTCCTCCCTTGTTGTTGCACCCCCCCCGCTGTCTGACTACCTTCGTGCCTCTCGTCCCCTTGTTCCTCGGGTCCTTGCCTCTCTCGTTACCGACCCGTCCGTTCTGACCTCGTGCCTTGACGCTCTTGTCGCTGCTGTCGCTGACTTCGCCTCTACCCGCCGCCTTGACTACGCCTCCGCTCTGGTCTCTGACCCTGCCTGTCCTCCGTCTGTCGGGGGTGCTCCTGCCCTTGGCAGTGACGTCCTGCAGGACCGCCAGTTCGAGCTTGCTTTCCTCTCCGAGGCTGCTCCCCATCTCTGTTCCATGCTGCTAGTCCCTGAGGGTGACCCAGACGCTTTCGACATCCCGACCCCTCACACTTACGCTGAGGCGACTTCGGGACCCTGGGCCTCGCAGTGGATAGCTGCCATGGAGCAGGAGATGGCATCTTGGAGATCCACCGGCACCTTCGTCGACGCAGTTCCCCCACCTGGGGTGAACGTAGTCGATGGCCGCTGGCTCTTCAAGGTGAAGCGCCCTCCTGGAGAGCCGCCTGTCTTCAAGGCGCGCTATGTCGCTAGAGGCTTCTGTCAGCGCGAGGGGGTGGACTTCTTCCAGACCTTCGCTCCGACCCCGAAGATGACTACTCTTCGGGTTCTGTTACACCTAGCTGCTCAGCGTGACTACGAGCTTCACTCCCTCGACTTCTCCACTGCCTTCCTTCAGTGCAGCCTACACGAGCAGGTCTACCTGCGGTGCCCTCAGGGCTTCACTGGCACCTTCCCTCCTGGGACCCAGTGGCTCCTGCGGTGCCCCGTCTACGGCCTGCGCCAGGCTCCCCGTGAGTGGCACGACACTCTCCGTGCTACGCTTGCTGACCTGCAGTTCTTTCCGTCTTCCGCAGACCCTTCACTCTTCGTTCGTGCTGGCCAGACTCCGTTCTACATCCTTGTTTACGTCGACGACCTGGTCTTTGCCACAGCAGACAGGGACGCACTGGCCTCCGTGAAGGCAGAGCTACTGAAGAGACACACGTGCAGTGACCTTGGAGAACTGCGCCGTTACCTTGGCTTGCAGATCTCCAGGGACAGAGCTGCGCGCACCATCACCCTGACTCAGTCACACTTGGTGCGCCAGGTCCTTCAGAGGTTCAGCCTTCAGTTCTCCTCTACACAGCCCACCCCTCTGCCTGTAGACCACAGACTCTCCGCTCGAGTGTCTGAGGAGTTGGTAGAGCCCAGCGGCCCCTACGCAGAGCTGGTGGGTTGCCTCATGTACCTGATGACTTGCACTCGCCCAGATCTCGCATACCCTCTCAGCATCCTGGCTCGCTTTGTGGCCACAGGCAGACACCGACCGCAGCACTGGTCTGCCGCTAAGAGGGTTCTGCGTTATCTTGCTAGTACATCGGGCATGGGGTTAGTGCTAGGAGGACGCAGGTCAGTGGTCCTTACTGGACACACAGACGCTTCGTGGGCAGACGACGCTAAGACACTCAGGTCTACCCAGGGCTACTGCTTCAGCCTTGGCTCAGGTGCCGTCTCGTGGAGAGCTACCCGCTCCTCGTCTGTTGCGCAATCCAGCTGTGAGGCTGAGATCTACGCTGGTGCCATGGCGGCACAGGAGCTCCGCTGGCTGACCTTCTTGCTCACTGACTTAGGTGAGCGGCCTAGCTCTGCCCCGGTCCTGTTCGCTGACAACAGGGCCATGATCCTTCTGTGTCAGGAGCCTCGACTCGAGGGCAGAGCAAAGCACATTCAGCTGCGGTACTTCCTCCTGCGTGAGCTACAGCAGCGACGTCAGGCTCGCGTAGTACACTTGGCCTCAGGTGCCAACACGGCTGATATCTTTACGAAGGCGCTTGCTCCTAAAGATCATCAGCGGCACTGTGTACAGCTTGGTCTAGTTCCTGTAGCCTCTCACTTGCTAGGGCGTTGACTTTGTACTGTCCTTTATACGTATACTCAGACTGGACTTGTGTCCTCTCCCAGTGGCTGGACTAGTAGTGCCACCCTGGTCTTGTTCTTGCCTTGTTTGTACTCCTTCTGAGTGGTCTCTCAGACCCTTGTCTCAGAGGTTGGACTAGTAGTGCCGCCCTGAGCTGTTTGTTTAGGGCATTCCCTTATGCAGTCTAGGGGGTGTGTCAAACATGTGTATTTGTCATGTTTGTATAGACTGTATAGGGTCGCCTCTTAGAGAGTACAACACTTAGGTATATCTGTGTGTACTCTCACTCTATCTATCATTCACTTCTCAATTCTGATACATGTACCCCCCCCACTACAGGCTATGCCTTGGCCCCAAATCACGCCGAAATCATCAGCGTCGCGTGGATCTTCAGCCCGACGGCGCGTGGCTTTCAGAAAGCAGCGCGAGCAGGCCTGACGTTTAAAAAAAAACCCCCCTGAGCTGTCGACTAAAAAAAAAAAATTACCCTGAGGGCTCAGTGTTCAAAATTTGCCTACCCTGATTTGTAAGTGTTCAGAAATCAAGAACCCTGAAAATCCCAGGGTTCACCGAACGCATTCAGGGTTGCCTTCAACTCGAGGGGGGAATAAAAAATGGGGGGAAAAAGGGGAGGGAATCAAACCGAGGGGAGGGGAAGAGCGAAACGGAGGGGAAGGGGGAGGATGGAAACATAGGGGAAAGAGGAAGCGAAACGGGGAGGGAAAAAGTGGGGGGAGGGGGGGGTTTCGAAATACAGTAGAGAGGAATGGGAGAAGCGAAACGGAGGGGAGAGGGGAAGCGAAACTGAGGGAGAGGTGCGGATCGAGGCGAATGGGGCAGTGGCAAAAACCTCTCACGCTTGCAGCGCCATGGGCAAATCGGGGACGTTAATCATACGCGATAATCTAACGGCTGAAATTTGTCGAAACGATCGCGATTGATCGTGGCCGTCAAAGTTTGATGGACTTTCAGTTGACCACACGGGCAATAAAAAAACTTTCCTTAAGAAGGGAGCATTGTCGCTAGTACCCTTCTATGACTTGACCGTTAGCCTTTTTTATTGGAAGTGGGAGTGTGGGAGGGGGGTTTACTTGTGTACAAGCCGTTTTTTTTTGTGCTGTCACTGCCTATCAAGACTTAGCTAATTTTTGTGGGTTGTTGTTAGGTGTGTAAGGGGGATGTCTGTACGACACATGACTTAGCCGATTTTTGTGGGTTGCTTGGTGTGTGAGGGAATGTTTGAGGACTTCACCAATTTTTGTAGGTTATTGCGTGTGGGGGGGAATGTCTCTGGAGATTGGGGACTTCGCCTAAATTTCCGCATTGTGAGCCACATGGATGTCGCACTCAGGGTTCGTACGCGTTACTCCCTGAAAACTCAGTGTTGGGATAACGCAAACCCTGAAATTCTCAGTGCTCACAGACATACAACCCTGAAGAGGTTAGGGTTCAAAAAAGCCCAACCCTGAAAATTCAGGGTTGGCAAAAAAAATACCCTGTGAAATCAGGGAATCAGGGTAAAATACCCTGATAACGACAGGCCTGAGCGCCAGTCAAGGAACACTTGGCAAATCCTCAAGTGTTGGTCCAGGATCTTTGCTGGAATGGTAGACTAGTAAGACAGCGGAAGTCTTGTAAAATGTAAAGGTCAAGGTTGAATAACCTGGGTATGTGAACTTGTGAGTAATCACAGTTAATCATGAAAAGACCTAACAAGTATATATAGTTCTACAAAAGTACCTATTCGTTAATGTACCTGTTTGTCACCAGGGCTGACGTTTCAAAAAAACGCACTCTGAGCCAACCCCCCCCAAAAAAAAAATAGTCTGAAGGGCCTTCAGCCGAAATTTTTGTAGTCTGAAATGTCAGGGTCCAGAACTCAGCGAGTCTGATTTTTTCAGGGTCCAGGACGTACAACCAGAGTCACACACGGGAAACACCCCCACAGCGAGAAACATCCCTCCCTCCTACACCTCCCAAAAAATCGGCTAAGTCCCTTGCAGCATTAAAAATCCTCCCACAGCCCGCGCCCCCCCCAACCAGCAACCTTGTCATACCCTCGTTTTGCGTAGTTGTTAAATGTGGGAAACGGGGAAGTCATTCCTAAAAACCGAGGGGGTAAAATCGCACTGCCACGGAAATCGAAACTGAGGAGAGGGGGAATCGAAACTGACGGGGAAATGGGGAGGGAATCAAAATGGAGGGGAGGGGGGGGAAGGGGGGGGGCGGTCGAAACGGAGTGGATGGGGGAAGCGAAACGGAGGGGAAGGGGGAAATGATCGAAACGGAGGGGAGGGGGGAAGTGAAAATGGAGGGGAAGGGGGGAATCGAAACGGCAGGGAGGGGGGAAGCTGGGGAATAGGACGGTGGGAGAAATTTCGCGCCCTTGCAGCGCCCCGGTTGGGAAATCTTGGACGTTAATCAATACATAACATCGAACGATTGATATACGTCGAAACGATCGCAAACGATCGTGACCATTACATTTTGTTAGACTTTCAGTTGACCAAACAGGCACCTGGCGAAAATTTCCCTATGTTAAAAATGCGGAATTTACTCTCATTTCAATGCAGTTAAAAAAAAAAAAAATGAAAGTCTCATTCAAAACTTCTGGGCTGTTCCAGGTGTTAGGGAGGACTGTATCTGA